AAAAACGCCTGACTGCCCAGAAACCACATGGCTTTTGTCAATATTTAGAACGAATTTAGTATGGAAAGTTCTTCATTTGTTATGGCTGCAAATTGATGCTCCATCAATTTAACCCTATAATTTTAAATTATACAGATGAAAGAATCTAAAAAAATATTACATCGATGCTGATAGTTCAATGAAACAATACGTCAAACAATTTTTTAATTTTTTGAAAAAAATTTAATGCATGGTTCATGTTCTTATGTATGACCAGCATTCTTTATGAAATTGTATCAACTTTTCAATTTCTATTTTTCTAACCTTCAATTATTTTTTATAATTCAACCACTTCTCATAGACCTATAATATTTTAAGGGGTTCGTTTCATGCATTACCTTTGTCACCATGCAAAGTTTTATTAAAATCCTAGAAAAGTAAACATAATATTACAAGTTAATATTACAAGTGTTTGATTTTTTTTTAAAATAAATGCACAATTCAGGTTTTACTCGTAAATTAAATATGAAATGCAATTTGTTTCATATCTATTGCTTTTCAGTCATATTTTTTTTGTATTGCAACATTTTTTGGATACTTCATATTTTATACACAGACACCTACTATAATTTATTTTCATAGCACTATATTTGATAATTTTGTCTAAGATTAATAAGGGCATATATGACCTATATTTTTGGTATAATAATAAAGATATTAAGTTTTACTTTATATAAAAAATATCCTTAATATTACAAATTCTGTGTCATTTCTATGGACTCACTTTTAACTTAAAGAGCATATTGTAATTTGATTGTTGAGACTAGTAATAAAATTAAAAAAAAAAAAATGGATACTCCTGGTTTTTGTGGAATTCTGTCTTAAGGCAATTAAGGCATCGAAAAAAAAAATTTTTTTTGAAAAAACATTTTTTTTTAAATTTTTTTTTTTTGGAAAAAAATTTTTTTTTCTTTATTTTGACATATTGTAGAAGATCTGAACTTTTTTTCAAAGCAATCGTACTGCTTTAACTGCATAGGGACAAAATATAAAGCGCGTAAGCGCCGCGTCGCTGTCTAACGCATAAGCATTGGTACGGAACCCATAGAAATGTTAACAAAATGTATACTTATTGTTAAAATCTCTATAAAATATCTGATAATTTGATGTGCATATGTCTAATGATCATTTTTGACCGCCAAATGGCTCATTTTTTTACTTTTTCCTCCATATCTCCGAAACCGCTAGCCCTACCTTCATGAAAATTTTATCGATTCTTCATCTTGTTAATACAAGTGAAATGTTTTTTGAATTATTCAAATCGGACGCTCCGTTCTCTTAAAAACTGAGTTAACGTTTTCGGCACTTTTTGCCCCGTATCTTCGGAACGGCTAGACCTGCCTTCGCCAAAAACTAATCAGCACGTCTCCTTATCAATACGAATCGAATGTTTTTTGAATTATTGAAATCGGTTGATCCGTGTTCCCGAAATCGTCGACGAAAATTTGTATCCGCACATACATACACACACGTACATACATACATACATACATACATACATACATACATACATACATACATACACACACACACACACACACACACACACATACATCCATTTTTTCTAAGGTATGCCAAAATGTTCAGAAACCTCTGAAACGTAAAGATATATAAAAATTTTCATTTTCGATTTTTTTGCGATTACTATAACTTGCCCTACGGGAAGTTAAAAATGGATACTCCTGGTTTTTGTTTTTCATTTTTGTTTTTATTGTCTTAGCTGGACGGTCTTTTAGCTCCTATATATTACATAGCTAGTTCTTTGTTAGTCTAAATTTAAAACTGCTCTTGGTGTAAAATCCCTAATTATAAATTTTATTCATTTTCTCTAATCGTGAAAATATTATTCACACCGGTCCTGGTTAAAACTATTATATAATGCTGAAATTCAATGAATCATATTTTCAATAGATTACATATGCACTAGCTTTTAAATGATGGTCTATAATCAAGTTCAATGAGTTCGCAATTAATGTATAATTAGTACATGCAAAAACACAATTAAAGTTATTGAAGTTTTTTCTAAAAGAAAATTGCCCAACATTTCCGAATTGAGTTAAACGATTTATGTGTATTTTTTTATTATTTTTCAACAAAAATGAAAAGAGACTTTTTTGTAATAAATTGATAACTACCTTGCTATTCAAATTTGTTTATTGATTATATATTGTTATTATTTTGATGAAGGAGAATGGAATGGAATCAAAATAAGGATCTTTTTTTTGACCTGGAGTTAATCGTTAATTGAGTTAATTTTGAATTGAATTCAAATTTAATTATTCACATGAAGGAATTGAAGGTGCCTTATGGTACAACTACATAACTATATTTTCAAGATTGAATTTATTAACGAATTATTGTATAGTTTATGCCCTATAACTTTTATCATCGTTTATTTGTTTAACTTCAAAAATACAGGGTTAACTATTTGTCTTTTTGCTTTTCAGAAATTTATTTTTAAAAAATAGGGCGAGGAGTTCCTTCGCTCGTAAGAAGTAAAACTTTGTAATGCAAAAATGAAAGTGAAAAGGAGTAGAAATCGATTTTTAGTGAACTCATATTGCTTCTTTAAGACAAAATTCATTATAATTGCTTACAATTCACAATTGATTGCATCTTTTAATTATGATTTTTGAATGGTATTATTAGTATTATTGTCGATTACATATAAAATATATTTTTAGAACCTTAAATGGAAAAAATGAAATGTGTTAAACCAATTCATTTAATTTATACAGGTACCGAAGTACCCATATTATAAGTATGTTAGAAAGACACCAATTGGCGATCGTATTATACTTAACTTCCCGTAGGGTAGTTATAGTAATGGGTCAAAAATCGTTTGCATATCTTTACGTTTTGAAGGTTTCTGAACATTTTAGCATACCTAAAAAAAATGGATGTTGTGTTTTGTATGTCCGCATTTTTTCGTCCTCGTTTTCGGGCGCACGGATCAACCGATTTGAATGGTTAAAAAAAACATTTGATTCCTATTGATAGGGAAATGTGTTGATTAGTTTTTGGCAAAGGCAGGTCCAGCGGTTGCGGAAATACGGAGCAAAGAGTGCAGAAAATAGAAATCGAGTTTTTGAGAGAACGGAGCATCCAATTGCAAAGATCTAAAAAACATTCAATTCGTAATGATGGGGAGAAGTGGAGATACCGAGCTAATTGTGCAAAAAATGACAGTTTTTGAAAGAAATAAGCATCAGATTTGAGTGATTCAAAAAACGTTTTGCTGGTTTTGAAAAAATAATTGCTTTTGGGAGAAAAATATTTCAATTTTTTAACATTACAAAAAAAATATATTTTTTGTATATCGAAAATAATTGTAATTTTCATTTTAATTCTGGTTAAAGTTCTAAAGCTCACTTATATATTTTAAATAAATAATTTTAAATTTGTAACTCAGTTTATATAACTCTTATAAATATTAGACAAATTTATTTTGATCTATATGAAAAGATTCAGTTTTTCTAGAACATTTCGTTACGGTACGGGAAGTTCCAGCAATTTGCCTTGAGGGACGATACCATACACAATTAGTTTTGTTTTAAATTAGTTTGTTACTCTAGTAACGTTAATAAATAAATTATAAGAACTAGTGGCACGCATGGCATCGTGCCTTAAGGCAAATTGCTGGAACTTTCCGTACCAAAAATTAACATTTTTGAAAAAAATTTACTCTGAAAAAATTAGATTTTTAAGAAACAATAAAATTTTTAACAAAAATTTACTTTTTTTGAAAAAAAAAGACTTTTTGGAGAAAAATTTATTTTGAAATATTTTGGAAATTCTGAACTTTTTTTTCAAAGCAATCGTACTGTTTTAACTACTGCATAGAGACGAAATATCGAAGCGCGTAAGCGCCGCGCCGCCCTCTAACGGATAAACATTGGTACGAAACCCATAGGAATGTAAAGAAAATTTATACTTATTGTTAAAATTTCTATAAAATATCTAATAATTTGATGTGCATATGTCTAATGAACATTTTTGAGCGCCAGATGGCATTTTTTTACTTTCTTTACTAGATCTCTGAAACCGCTAGACCTGCCTTCATGAAAATTTGATCAGTTCTTCATCTTGTTAATACAAGTAAAATGTTTTTTGAATTATCCAAATCGGACACTCCGTTCTCTTAAAAACTGAGTTACCGTTTTTGGTACTTTTTGACTCATATCTTCGGTACGGCTAGACCTGCCTTCACCAAAAACTAATCAACACGTCCACTTGTCAATACGAATCGAATGTTTTTTGAATTATTCAAATCGGTTGATCCGTGTTCCCAAAATCGTCGACGAAAATTTTTATTCGCACACACACACACATATATACACACACATATACATACACACTAAATTAATATAAAAATGTATATTAAATAAAGTAAATTTATATAAAAATTTTCATTTTCATTTTCGATTTTTTGCGATTACTATAACTTACCCTACGGGAAATTAACAAAGCTAATTGTGTATGGCATCGTGCCTCAAGGCATTTTTGTCAAAAATTTATAGTTTCTCAAAAATCTAATTTTTCAGAGTAAATTTTTTTCAAAACTATTAATCTTTAAAAAAAAAAAATGGTACGGGAAGTTCTAGCAATTTGCCTTAAGGCACGATGCTATGCGCCCCGCTATTTTTAATTTTATTCTGTACTCTAGTAACGTTGATAAATAAATTATAAGAATAATAATAGTAATAAAATGGATTGCCTTTTTACGGTGGTTTTACATTCAAAAGGTAACGGACTCTATGTCCACAGGGATCATAGATAAACAAGTATAGAGATGTTTAACAACCCTTAATAATCATCAGCGCCATCTTTGTTGACCCTTGGGTGTTAATCGTGTCGCCATCTTATATAATAACCTCTACAAATTCAATGCGCTTTGCTTTTGTTTTTCTGTTAAACGTATTGTCGATTAAAGTTTGTTTGCTTATTACTGCTCTTTTAATTCCAGTTTTTATGTTAAAAGACTATATGAAATAAGTGTACGACGACTTTTAACAAATATAACTCTATTATTATTGTTATTCCTAGTAACAAGTACTTAAAAAAAATGCCTAGACCAAAATTGAAGGACCAGTATTATGACGATGGGGATTTTGATTCATCACCAAATTCAAGTCAATCACAATCCTCTTCCCTTAATGAAGATGATTTGGAAATGCAGGGCTACGTAGCCGATTGCTTAAATTATATTCTATCTGCGTCGGAAAATTCAGCTTTAATTAGAAGACAAAACATTGTTAAATATCCCCTCAGAGGAAAAACTAGAATATGTGATACTGTTTTGGCAAAGGTTAAAGACAAGTTGAAGGAGGTACGTAATTAGTAATCAATAAATAATATCGTTGTAGAAATTAACACAATGTTTAGAAAACCAAAAATTTCCATTGTTTCATTTTTTTCAAGTCACTAACTCTATTTTATAATGCATTGCCTATTATGATCGATGACTTTTTTCTTATCTTTAGAGGTTGATCAGCTTTTTTATTCATTATATCCTGAAATCGACAACAAGTAAAACTATAGGATTTACAAAAATGATTTTAAGAATACGAACTCTTCTGGCTGTTGCCAGAAATTTTGAAAATTGGTGTAAGTTAGTTTAACATTAATTTCTTTCTTAATCTTGCCCTGGTAGTATTGTGGAGTAGTTCTTTTGTCATCTTCAAGCAGCATCATTATCTCACTTTCATAAAACTTTTGGCTTTTATTAGCAACAAACTGATTCATGTACAATTTATTACCATTATAATCATTGAATTGTTTACTATTCAAGGAAGTTTGTAAAGATTGAAACAAAAAGTAATCAAAAGGAGCAATATCAGGACTATATGGTGGATGTGGCAAAACATCCCAATAAGGCTCCAATAATTTACCGAGTGGCCATAGATATGTGATGTCAAAAATGGAATAATTCATCTCTTCAATTGAGGCAGCTTTTCTTCAACTGCGTTGTTTAATTTTGTTAGTTGTTCATTGTACACATCAAAATTGATCAGAATTGGGTTGTAAGAGTAAAAATAGACAATTGATCTCTTCAATTTGTTAATTCAGGCAGCTTTTCTTCAACTGCCTTGTTTAGTTTTATTAGTTGTTCATAGTACACAACAAAATTGATGATTTGGTTGGGTTGTAAGAGTAAAAATAGACAATTGATCTCTTCAATTTGTTAATTCAGACAATTTTTCTTCAACTGCCCTGTTTAGTTTTGTTAGGTGTTCATTGTACACATCAAAATTGATCAGAATTGGGTAGTAAGAGTAAACATAGACAATTAACTTCTTCAATTTGTTAATTCAGGCAGCTTTTCCCTTGTTTAATTTTGTTAATTGTTCAATGTACACATCAAAATTGATCATTCGGTTGGGTTGTAAGAGTAAAACTAGACAATTTACATCTTCAATTTGTTAATTCAGGCAGTTTTTTTCAACTGCCTCGTTTAATTTTGTTAGTTGTTCATTGCACACATCAAAATTGATCATTCAGTTAGGTTGTAAGAGTAAAAATAGACAATTTACCTCTTCAATTTGTTAATTCAGGCAGCCTTTCTTCAACTGCCTTGTTTAGTTTTGTTAGCTGTTCATTGTACACATCAAAATTATTTGGTTGGGTTGTAAGAGTAAAAATAGACAATATACCTCTTCAATTTGTTAATTCAGGCAGCTTTTCTTCAACTGCCCTGTTTAGTTTTGTTAGTTGTTCATTGTACACATCAAAATTGATCAGAATTGGGTAGTAAGAGTAAACATAGACAATTAACTTCTTCAATTTGTTAATTCAGGCAGCTTTTCTTCAACTGCCTTGTTTGATTTTGTTAGTTATTTAATGTACACATCACAATTGATCATTCGGTTGGGTTGTAAGAGTAAAAATAGACAATATACCTCTTCAATTTGTTAATTCAGGCAGCTTTTCTTCAACTGCCCTGTTTAGTTTTGTTAGTTGTTCATTGTACACATCAAAATTGATCAGAATTGGGTAGTAAGAGTAAACATAGACAATTAACTTCTTCAATTTGTTAATTCAGGCAGCTTTTCTTCAACTGTCTTGTTTGATTTTGTTAGTTATTTAATGTACACATCACAATTGCACATTCGGTTGGGTTGTAAGAGTAAAAATAGACAATTCACCTCTTCAATTTGTTAATTCAGGCAGCTTTTCTTCAACTGCCTTGTTTAGTTTTGTTAGTTGTTCATTGTACACATCAAATATGATCATTCAGTTGGGTTGTAAGAGTAAAAATAGACAATTTACCTCTTCAATTTGTTAATTCAGGCATCTTTTCTTCAACTGCGTTGTTTGATTTTGTTAGTTATTTAATGTACACATCAGAATTGATCATTCGGTTGGGTTGTAAGAGTAAAAATAGACAATTCACCTCTTCAATTTGTTAATTCAGGCAGCTTTTCTTCAACTGCCTTGTTTAGTTTTGTTAGTTGTTCATTGTACACATCAAATATGATCATTCAGTTGGGTTGTAAGAGTAAAAATAGACAATTTACCTCTTCAATTTGTTAATTCAGGCATCTTTTCTTCAACTGCGTTGTTTGATTTTGTTAGTTATTTAATGTACACATCAGAATTGATCATTTGGTTGGGTTGTAAGAGTAAAAATAGACAATTCACCTCTTCAATTTGTTAATTCAGGCAGCTTATCTTCAACTGCCTTGTTTAGTTTTGTTAGTTGTTCATTGTACGCATCAAAATTGATCATTCAGTTAGGTTGTAAGATTAAAAATAGACAATTTACTTTTTTAATTTGTTAATTCAGGCCGCTTTTCTTCAACTGCGTTGTTTAGTTTTATTAGTTGTTCATTATACACATCAGAATTGATCATTCGGTAGGGATATAAGAGTAAAAATAGACAATTTACCTCTTCAATTTGAAATATCACCAGGATAAAATTTGGCAATCCAATTCTGACACTGCTTTTTTAAGGCCCTATCACCATAAATTGTGCATAACTTTTTGTAAGTTTAGATTTAGATGCCTTTTTAACTTTGCAGAAATGAAAAAGCAAAATATAACAAACAAATTTCGTTGTTACCTTTGGTTGTCGACCTAAGAAATTAGCAATTACTTTTATTCAAATGCTATATTACACAAATTATTTGTAAAATATGTTAATTGTTTAATATTTTTACTCATTTCTTACTGTTTAACTGTAATTGAAATGTTGTATGGCATATAAACATTTATTTTCATGGCTCCGAATCAGCTTATTTCTAGAGCATTTATTTATTATTGCTGATCATGAAATTCAATATAAATTTTAATGCGGAACTGGATAGCAGCATTAGATAATTTTTAATCAATCGTGTTGAAAACATTTTGTTTTATTATGGAATTTGTAGTTGGTCATATATTTCTACTTGGAAATATACATAATTGATAATATATTATGTTCAGAAATATTTGTTGAAACAAGATCTAGAAATTTGTTAGAAATTAGTATTTTATATTAGAAATAGCAGAAGAAATTAGAATTAGTTTTGTTTCTAAAGCAATAAAAACTAATTATACCCATTTCAGTAATATAAGTGTATAAACATACTTCTTACTGAATGGATTATCAATGACTATTCAAAATTCTAACAACTCTCTTTTTTTAGATATATGGCTATGAACTGAAACTGGTTGATTCCGAAAAGCCTCCTTCACTGCATCAATATTTTTTATTTAATAAAAATGGTACTCATTACTCTGACCTGCTATTTAGCGATGAGAAAAAACGTGTTTTGCTACTTCGATATATGATTTTGGTGCATATACACATGTCCGGCGGAATGTGTACAGATGGTATATTTTATTAAAATATTTAATAAGAGAAAAATAGTATAAAGCAATAAATAATAATTGCACTATTATTTATAACTAGTTATGTTGCATCTTTTTTTTCATGGAATTTAACAAAAGTTTTTACATTTGTTTCAGTTTTCTATGTTAACTTTACTGAAAAATTTCTTTGGCTTTTTTCTCATGTTTCTTGAGAGATATCACTATTTTCTAATCATAACTAACTATATTTAACAAATGTAAAATCTATACTGTATTTTTCTTAGAAGAAAATTATCAACATTAATAACTAAATAAAGCTACATAAATAAAATGTAGCTATTGATTACAGTTGACATACACACCTTAATAAAACACATTTATTAAACCAATTAATTTAATTTATACAATTATAGATGTTATAAGAATGTTTGAATTTATTTGGAAATTGCATTAATTAATTTTTCCTGAAAGCCATTTTAAGTTTTGAAATAAACAGTTATACATTTTACTTAACATGTATACGTTAGGTTATACATTTTACATTTACATGTATATGTATTAGCAAGTTAATGCAACTTGTTTTATGGCAAAATGCTACTTACAACTAGTTTATTATTCATAACTTTTCTACACTAATTTTATTTTTGCTTTCATGGCCTCGGCTTTGGCTATATATTTTCTGTTCTATGTATCAACATTTTGTGTTTATATACCTCATACTTATTAATATTGCTTTATACTATTTTTTTTTTTACTAAGCTTATTATGATGATAAAAGCGCATATTGAGCACCACTATGATGTTGCATATTTTCCTTTTCATATAGTTTAAGTCTGATAATTTTACAACATAATATAATTTGTTTTCTTACGTTCTGTATTCAACAAATATTTTTCACTTGCAGATTCATTACGAGAATTTTTAACCACATGTGGTCTTTCAATATATGATAACAAAAATGATTCTTTTGACAATATTAAAAAACAAATTGCAGAGTTCCAAAAGCAAAATTATATAGATGTGGCTGACCAAATTGATAACAGGTTAATATTTTCATATAATTATTTACATAAAATAATATATTTATTGTGAACTTTAATTAGTTTAAATGGTTTCATTAACCAGTTAACTATGGTGCTCTCATCGACAAGTGCACACAGTTTGTGTACACAATATTTTACTATTTTGTTAACATCAGCATTTATTACATAGACTGGGTTGATAGTGGCAGTTGTCATAACAGCTAAACTACACTGATTTTGAGATAGGGGGTCCACAGGGAGAAAGATGAAGTATGTTTGTTTGAACCAGTTTCCATTATTGCTTTCAGTCACCTACATTAACCCAAAATGTAGGGCTCATTGCTTTTAAAAAGCTGAAAGTAAGTTTGCATGTTCAATTTTTTTTAATAATAGCTGTTAATTATATACAGATAGATAACTGTGTTTGTTATTTTGGTGTAAGTTCAACATTAGGAGGTAATTACTAACAATTAGTTTTTGTGTAGATAATTTAGATTTATCATAATGTTGGCTTGTTTTTAAAAGTGTGCGTTGGGTACGGTTGTGGCATGCATTTCTTGTTTTTTGTGGGTGAAGATTGAACAGATAGAAAAATTTAAACAAAACAAAATACGGAAAAAAAAGAAAAAGGAAAATTCAATATAAGAAAAATACAAGAATGCGCGTAAGGTTCACACGCTATTGAAGTAAAACTTTTTTGCTATTGTACGAGATGGCATTTATGTTAAAATAAATACATCATATAACAATTTTGAATGATGTTCATTAGTAATATGGCAACACTCGAGATGCACAAATTTATTAATGTCAATCATTATACATATTTATATGATAAATTACAATTTATATATTTATAATAACATTAAAAAAATGCTTGTATTTTTTTTTTTACTTTTTTGCTGATGATAAAATCTCATTTTACAGAGTATCTGTAATATCTGTCTTGCCTATGAAAATATTTTCTATTTCAATAACTTCAAAGATTTATAGAACCCATGAATAATATAGAAATTAAATTATTTTAATAATCTTGTGTTTAATACACGATTCAAATGTTCATTTGATTTCTTTTCATTATAATTATTTACTGGAGACAGGGTAAATTTTTTTTTGATTCAGGCATTTTTTTTTATTAAGTCAAGATTTGTACTACTATTTAGCCTTAAAATAAACATATGTTTATTTATCTATGCCGATTTTCTTGTTGATCTATATTTGCACGAGACGACGATTGACAATTAATAAATAACTTGGTTTAAAAATTTCATTAATTGAATAGATAGGTTGATATTTAAGATGTTTTTTAACAGCAGCATTGAAACCTTTCTTGATTTTACATTTCCACTCATTGGGAAGCCTGTTGTAGATCTCGACACCCAGCTTCTTCCTTATACAAACATAAAATAGTCAAAGAAAAATAGTTTAGTTATAAAAATTCTGCCTTTGTCAATCACAGTTAACTGGTTAAATTCATTAGATTACATCAAGCTAACTTTGCTTAACTATTAACAAAGACTTGCTTATCGTCATTTTTACATGCATTTCTCTTGATTCCTTACATTTCTGGGATAACTGCTTGATCTTCCACCAAACTGTGAATTCAAATTTCTTTTTTTTTTTGAATAGTTGTGTTTAATTAATTACTCTATGTATCTATATTTTTTTGTTTTGTGTTTTTTCAAGGACTTATTATAGTATTGGATATCGAGGAGCATGTGAATATAACAAAGAGGATTTGGAGAAAGGGTATTTAAATGTAAGTATGAATTTTTTATATACCGTGGTGCTCTGACTTACGAGTTTAATTCGTTCCTTAACCACACCATTTGCCCGTATGTCAAAGCAATCAATCGCTTCTTTGGCGGCTTGTATCTCGAAACACTTGTAATTTGGTGTACCACTGTATTTCTATAAAATTATTTATTATAAATAATGATAACACTTAATTCAGTTTGTGGAGAATGAAGATAATCAAGAAAAAGGAACTGATGGTGCCACTGATAAAGTGGAAGAAGAAGATGAACAAACGAAAATATAGATTCAAATATAAATTCAAAAAAAAAAAAAAAAAAAATAGATATATACATCTTTATAATTCAGTACTCAATACCAATTATTTCTCATCAAAGTACTGAATATTTGTGGGTGTAAGCAAAGATAATAAAACTGTGATATTAGAAAAAGTTAATTAGCATGGTAACACAATGGAAAATTCCTTAGGTAACGCATCAAGAAAATGCATCAACACAGTCATTTTTTTGATGTGCGTATCATTTCAAGCTCTCTGTGATCTGCAGTGTGGCTCCAGCAAATTTGGATATAAAAATGAAAAACAAAACTCATTGTACTTGTTTATAGTTGCAGAAACACATAGAAGATCTTAAAAATATTAATTTTTATGTGATTGACGAGTATTTGAATAAAATCGTTATTTTAATTATTTTATTATTTCTCACAAAAAAAACATTCGGTAATGAATAAAGATTAAATTAACATCTTCTATGTACTTCTCTTCAAAATCTTCTTTGTAATAAATTAGAATGAAAAGAATGGAAATTGTTGGAGTTATGCTGCGGGCTGTTTTGATAAATAAGTTAACTATAGTGGGGGGGGGTATAGGTATTTGACAAAAAATCACAACATATCTAGTCGTCTGTAAAATATCACATAATTAGTTTTTACATGAATTTAAAAAAAAACATATTGTTACAAAATAAAAAATTTTACAACTTTTTCTATGTACTAAAAAGACTTGTAATGTTGGGTGGGAAATAATTTTAAATATCATAAAATATCTTCATCTGGGGAGGAGGGGTCCAAAAATCCTTAAACATCTGTGATGTGATTAGTGGACACTCCCTAAAAAAATGAAAAATTTTTGGACCATAAAGCTGCCCTTTTATATTTAGGAGGGAGAAACTCCTTCACTTTCAGACCATTCATGAAATTACACACAGTAGCTATGCTTACAATATTTAAACATTACTAATTCTATTGATCAGAAATGCTTCACCTGAATATAAATTATTTATGTCAAGTTTTTGTGCATTCAAGATTATAGAAGTCGTTTTGCTTTATAATGTCATTTTTCAATGTATTCAAATAGTGCCAGATCGAACAGTCCAACACATTTAATTACAAGAAATAAAATACTTTTAGGTTTTCTCATATTCTTTCTTAAAGCTTCATAGTATTTTTTAAGCCCAAAAAACATTTTACATAGAAAAATTTGCAGTGCTATTACATTAAATTTCAACATATATATTTTCAATTTTAAAATGCTTCTTTTTATTGCCTTGGATATGGATATTTTGATTATTATTCTAATCATAATCAGTATTTTTGAAGGTTTCATATTCAACATTATTAACTAATTTTATGAGAAGAATGTTTATAATAAATACTGTACCTGAAGAATTATAATCGAATGAAATTATTGATTTGATTGAATAGAAATCAGTTATTTGATTTGAATAGAAATCAATAGAACTTAATATGTGAACAAAATAAAATCAATATTTAAAAATAATTATCCTGTACTTTGTGACACTAAATATGATCAGCAGTTCTAAAATAATTTCCAATCAAATGCATAACTATTTAAAACTAAAAACTGCCGTTAAATTGCATTTTTGTCAGAACTGACCATTGATAGCACATATTTAGTGTATAACATACAGAATAATTACTTTTTTATATTATTTTATTATCGACTGATTTTTTTGTGATATATTAGAATTCGTAATCTCATGCAAAAGTATTTATGTATATATAGATGAAGGTTTGTCTTGTATTTCTGTTTTAATAAGTATCCCTCTGTAGCTAGTAACATTGATTTTGAACAGAGATAATATTGTTATAAAAATATATAAATACATATATTGATTTCATTTATTCTATGAACTGATTTTATTCACTAAATTTTTTGTTAACATAATTGTTCGAATAATAAAATATTTGAGCAAAATTTGTCCGGAGCGCGAGTGTATGCTATAATTTAAAAATATTTTAATATTCAGATTGTTTTGAAAATATATTTCGGAATATTTCACATAAATCTTATTTGTTTCAAATAATTTTTTTTTATTCTTACAAGAAAAGCAGTCTTGTCATAATTTATAATAAATTAGGCTGAATGAGAAATATTGCAACACTTTTGATGCTTTGAACTTCTTGCATTATTTTCTTTATGTGAATGTTGTGTAGTTGTTGAAGTCCACAAATCTTTGTATTTGTTTTCAATGGTGTCCATATTGTTGCTGATAAGATTCTTCTTCTGGTGCTTGAAGTTCATTTTTGATGGACGTGGATTCGAAAAGTATTCTTTCAGCTTCTCTTTGTGCTGCAAGCTGTTCATGTTCTGCTGCTATTTTTTCGAATAAGGATAGATGATGTTGTCTTGCATTTGCTACAGCATGTGTTTCTCTTGGAAGAGAATGCTCAATGATCTAAGAAATAAAAAGGTTTCAGGTATTTATTATGAAAACATAAAATTTTTAATACTAATAATACATTGTTTCTTCTTGATTGCAATGACTTAACTGTGGCGCATCTGGACTTGGTACATTTTATTCGGTACATACTTTTGGGAGGGACTTTGCAACATCAATAGACACTTAATGTTAGTTTTTGACTACATTGGATGACCATGATATTCATTTTATACTAATAGATGAATATTGATAATTTATTTACGACTTAAATATTAATAATTTAATATCCCAAAATCTTGAATTATTTAATTTCTCAAAATCGCGAGTATTATTTTAAAAATTATTTCAGTACCATTGATTACTTTTTTTTATTCATGTTAATACTAGAATGTTAAATTAATATAATAATATTAAAAATGTCATTATTAGACGCATACTGTTATCAATGAATATATATTTGAATACTTGCAAATATATAATTTAATATATTATATACCTAGTTGCAAATATTTGAATTATGAATAAAGTGAAAGGGTATACTATGGGTATATTGTTCATGTTATAATATTGCAATTTTCATATTAATTCTCAATTAATTGAGATTGATTAATTGAGATAATTAATTGAGATTAATTAATTGAGATAATTATTCTTTTGTGACAAATACTGAAAATGAGATTGGTGAGCTCTATTATCTTGACTTCGAAGAAGCAGCACATATTACTATAGCAAAAGGCGTAGTACCAATAGCAATTGTCAATGACACTTTAGTACCTGTTTTTAGAAACCTTCAGGAAACTAGTGGGGTGCATGGCATCGTGGCTTCTGGCATTTTTTTTTTACTATTTTTTGCTGGATCTCCAGAACCGCTAGACCTGTCTCCCGAAAATTTGAACTGTTCTTCATCTTGTCAATACAAGTAAAATGTTTTTTGAATTATTAAAATCGGACGCTCCGTTCTATTAAAAACTGAATTACCGTTTTTGGATATTTTATCTTCGGAACGACTAGACCTGCCTTTGCCAAAAACTAATCAGCACGTCTCCTTATCAATACAAATCGAATGTTTTTTTTTTAATTCTTCAAATTGGTTGATCGGTGTTCCCGAAATCGTCGATGAAAAGTTGCATCCGCACACACACATACATACATACATACATTTTTCTAAGGTATGCCAAAATGTTCAGAAACCTTTGAAACGCAAAGATATATAAAAATTGTCATTTTTTTAGCGATTACTATAACTTATCATACGGGAAGTTAACAAGTTAGACTCGGATGATGATTATATAATATAATTTTATATTCTCTTACTTGGGGGTAGTTCTGCAATTGTTTGTGGTGCTCCGATATTTTCTCGTATAATTCATGATGTCTTTGCTTAACTCTTTCGACGGCTTCAGTATCCTTGTTTGGTTCAGGAACGTGACTCAAGGCTGGATGGAAACCGTTCTCATCAGCTTGATATTCGACGGTTCTTACTTGGTTTCGGGGGTCCACATACTGGAATATTCCTGCCATGATAAATTAGCTTTTGATACAATTTTTCTAACAAGGAAGTTCTGAAGTTCCTTAATTACTGCTCGTGTAGAACAAACATTAATACATTATTTTTCTCACCTCTTACTGTGCCAGAACCGTCGGAATGTTCAGTATGTTGTCTGTCTACATGACCAGGAAACCTTCCTGCGGTGTAGCTGAACGCATAAGGAACTGGCGGTGGTTGTGGTGTAGTTGTAGTTGACTGATGATGGTCACCCACGATGTGTGATACGTCAGCATATACCGCTGATAAGCATAGCGCCAAAATAATACCTGTCTAAATATAATAATATTTGGTATAAAAGACTGTATATTAATAAATAGACATTATTTTTTATTTATAAGTTCAATCCTTAGTTGCCAAAATCGTTTCATTGCCAAATTCGCCGTTCTGACTGGATTGTTATTACTTTCAAAACGTGCATTCCATGAATTGAATACCAGTTTCCACCTAGCTTTATACTGAAACTATGCATGGTTGTTTGTGTGTAACGAAATTTAGTTGGTTTTATATACTAATATCTTGTGATTGCATTTTTAAATGTAGAGTAACAAGTTGTAATTTTGCAAAAAAAATCTACTTTAGGCAAAATTGCTGTTTATACGAGCTGGTTGAAAACATTGGACTCAAATTGACGAAAAATATAAAATAACACACGATGTCTTTATTATAGTCCAGTCGTTTAAGCTTAAATTAGGTAAACATCTCGGAATTGATAAATTTAATAGTCCAGTCATTATAGTAAAGTTCACCTCGGAATTCGAGATACCCAGCTGTAAGCCTGTAAATACTTGTATATTGACACCTAAAAGTTGTCTTAAAACCTACATATGGTAGAGTATACGCAACATATGTAGGTTTTGAGACAACTTTTAGGTGTCAATATATAAGTATTTACAGACTTACAGCTGGGTATCTCGAATTCCGAGGTGAACTTACTATAATGATTGGACTATTAAATTTATCAAGTTCAACTGTTTATAATAAACGGTTTGACTTTTGCTTGGCAAAAATAAATTTCCCTTAGAATATAAAACGATACTAACATTTGGGAAAATTGTAACTTGAATTTGGGAAAATTTGAAGAAAACTGAATTTTGTAATATTTTTTTTTCGCCTACTGTAGGGTACTTTTATACCAGACTTTCTGAAGACCAAAAGCATACATGATTTTTTTTAAGAATCATACATTTTTAATGGAATTTACATGGTTCCTAAAAGTCTGCATATTTGCGATTCCAGATTTCAAGGTTAATGGAACTTGCTTTTTATAGGTTTTAAGACAAAAACTAAATAATGTGAATTATAAAAGCGGAAAAACGTTATGTATCTCTAGTTAACGTATTTGTTCATGACAACATTTCAGTAAATTTTACTGAGTTATTATTAGTTTTAACAGCAAGTTACGAAAAACAATATTCTAAATAATTCTAGAGCTGATATTTTCTTATATTATTTTTTGACCTTATAATTGAAGGAAGAGAAAAAATTAAAAATAGTTTAATAAAACAAATGTAATTACAAAAGATCAAGAGCCTTGAAATTGTTACTCGTTACTTCATAATTAAAATGGTATAAACAATAATAAATGTTTGCGTGGGTTGAGCTCCAAGTTGATCCGACATTGGACTTGTTATTGATAGAAATAATTTTTTTTCAACGTATATAATGTTTACAACTGTCCTGCATGGACATTCAGTAAATCTTTTGGTGATTAGAGGTACAAAAAATGTCACATCAATATATATTTTTATTATTATTATTTTTAATGTCTGCGTTTCTTCCATTATAGAGCATCTGCAAATTTTTGATAGCAAGATATCTACATCGAGTGTCAATCCAGTGATTGGACCCAACGGAATAGTGAAAAAATGCACAGTTGAAATTTTCCTTTATATTGATCGTGAGTGCAATAATGCACCCGTTTTATGTTTTATTGTGAAAGTAATAAAATATCGGAATAGCTGATGCTGTGCAAATATTAGCATTTAGAAAATTGATATTACACTAAATCGATTTCACCAAGTTGATGTTATTTTTCTTTATCAATTACTATTTCATTAAAGAAGTACGCAAATCACTTTTGTTTACAGTAATTGGATGAAAATATCTGTCGATATTATTATATTTATATTAGTAAAATAAAAATAAATAAATTCGAGTTCGAGTAGATCAAAGTAACTGAGTGGATGTTGTTCAGTCTTTGATACTGCGCAGCTGATATATTCTTCGGGTTGTTGATCGTTTATTTGTTTGACTTGATTATTATTTTTATATATAAATAAATAAATATATATATATATATATATATATATATATATATGTATATAAACTATATTCTAATATAGTTGTTTTATTGCTATTTCGAACTACTCAGTCAGTTACCATAATCAATAGTTCATTTACCGTTTTTTTTTACTTTGTAAGTAACCAAATTCTAAACAAATTTCTATGTATTTTTATACTAATGTAAATAATTTTAACAATAAAATAACAAAAATATTTTCACTTACCACAGACAACATTTTAGTTAATCCTTGTACTTTACACTTGAACACTTGAAAATTGCACTTAATTCTTTTTTCGCAAATTTTGTCCCCTTTGGCACTCGATAAAAAGAACTGATTGGTACTGATGAAGGCAAAACGCTGCTGTTCTGAACCGCGGAAAGAGAAAGTATATATATGCACATATACTGGCACATGTTCATTCTGTTCTTACGAAATATACACTTCGTTAATTCAAATAAAATTATGCAAAAAATGTTTATTATCGACGAGTCGAAGAATATGCTAAGAATGTTCTAGAAAATATACTTAACCAATCAGATTTTTGATTGTAGATGATAGAAATATATCTCTTTTGGCTTTATATTTGTTATATTATTTGAATAATCATTATTGAAATATCTGAATTGAAGTTTCACATGATGTACCGAATGGACCAATCCAATCAATTCCTCCAAAGTTATGTTACATCATTGAGCTCTGCACCATTTGAATATTTCTTTTGGTTTAAATGACAATAACGAATTAAATTGTGTTTTTTGTACGAATTTAGTTGAAACAATATAAATATCGAAAAAACATCTATTTTAATTTTTCTCATTTTCTCCCAGGAAAGTTTATGACCTAGTCTTTAAAGAAAAGTTGACAAGTTCTTATTAGATAATCACAATAACACGATACCTAGTTTGTGACTTTTCTTAATCAATTTTTCAGCTAAGGCTTGGGGGCATCCATTAATCACGTGATAATTTTTTTAAGGAGTTTTAGACCCCCCCTCTCCCTTGGTTACACGTCGTGATATTTAGAATTAAACTAAACCTAAATTTACCAATTACTCACTGATTTTTCATGATGTTATTTGCTTTTTGGCATCAATTACTGTTTATCAACCAGTTTTTTAGTAAGAGGTGCATCTTTGATACTAAAATCATCAGATACAAATTTTGCAATGTAGTACCGGAAAAATATGTAGTTAGGTTGTTAACTTTAACGTTGGTCTATGGCATTTATACTAAGAGGGGATGTCATAGACCAACGTTATCAACTAAAGTTATCAACCTAACTGTACAATTTATCAGTACCACTGTACTCCATTGCACAATTTGTATTTGGTGAATTTGGTGTCAATGATGCACCTAAAACTTTGATGCTACAACTCTGATGCACCTAAACTTTGGTACTAAAATTTATGATATTACTTACATTTTTAGTATAATCATACATTTTAGTACCAAAGTTTAGGTGCATCAGAGTTGTAGGATGAAAGTTTTAGGTGCATCTTTTACCACCAAAATCACGAGAAACGAAATTTGCAATGTAGTACTGCGGTATTGAAAAATGATGTAGTTTTTAGTTATTATCATTCATTCTTAGTATTATCATAGATTTTTGTACCAAATTTTAGATGCATCACAGTTTTAGGATCTAAGTTTTACGTGCATCGTTGACACCGAAATCACCAGATATAAATTTGGCAAAGTATTACTGTAGTATAGGAAAATTATGTAGTTTGATTGATAAATTTAACGTTGGTCAATGGTATTCATTCTTGATATTATCATATAATTTAAATATAGAAATCATAATTAGTAAATATTGTTTTTGAGCATATGCAGAAATTGACGCCCAATATTGTTTGAGGAAAATAATATTTTAAATTTCACGTATTCGTAAGTCCATCAAGACGTAGATTAAATACAATTTAGTTCAATTTATTTCTTGCGTAGATACACTATTTAAATTATCTTGAGAAGTCCAATGTATCAATTCATAGATTCGCCGTACTCTCTCAGGAACTCGTACACCTTGAATGAATTATTGTCCATTGATATTGAATATATCTGAAATTCATCTTAAATTTATATCTGTAGATGATTCTATCTTGTTTTATATAAATTAACCTTGACGTCATTCATAAAGCACGCGTCGTGCCTTGTTGTTTTTATCTAATGTTTAGATTAACTTTGTCAACTGGGAAGATGATTAATCAATTTCCTGATAATAAATTAATAAATAATAAGATTCCGGATTTAATATAAATCAACATTACTAATTGTTAAATTATAGGAATTGATTATGAATTTCATATGCAATAAGAAGAAGAATATAAAAGGTTCGTCAGATCAATTTCTTCCGAGAAATTTGGTAGTTTCAAGACGAAATTTAGAAACATATTGAATAGCCTTGAATATACTGGGCTTTTTGGAACCTTATTTACAATAGGTTTCAACAATTTGTTTTAAAGTGCAAATCTATATGCAACAGATTTTCAATTTCTTTTTTAAACTGTGATCCGAACTATATGTTCTAAAATCTTAACACATACATCCTAACCTAGTATTTTTTTAAGAGGGCCACCAAGCGGTCAACCTTTTTTTGTGTTTGGACCTTATACAGGGTATCCCAGAACTTAATGTCAAGCCGAATCGGGGTAATAGTATTGACCGTAACTTCTTTGAAAACATTAAATAAAAAATTATTTTATGTTATGAACTTTTAAGTGCAACCCAAAGCTTTGATGAAATTATAACCATTTTTTGGTTATTGCGTTTAAATTTGATTAATATTGTGACGGATTTGGGGTTGACGCTCCTTTCTAGGGTATTGCAACGACTGCCAAATATTATATTTTAGCATTGCATCCCCATTATGAAAGGGTTACTCCAACTCCTTAACCCGACTTCTGAGAACACCCAGTAGTTTTCTGTGGAAACTAAACCAACTACGCGAATGAAACATAATGTACTTTCTATCTCATTTAATACACCTAATTATAACTACAGGTGTGAGGGCATGACTGTACCTATGTATAGTCATGTCTTATGTCTATACTCTAAAGTACTGATAAATTTTTATTAATTACTAACGGAAGTACGAAGTAACAGCACGTATTAACGGATTAACGGAGGGAATAGTTAATAAGCAATACATCTGACCTTTTCTGGGACAGGTTCTTCTCTCCTGGCACAACACACACACCTGCTAAGAGTATTGGCAAGTTTTATCAAAAGTTGACGCATTCAGGGTTGAAAAATGGTAAAATTCTTGATAATTCATTGAAAAATTTTGGGTAAAATAATAAAGCCCCAAACATACATTTCGTTTAACGTAGGGCCTCTCATAGTAATAATTCTTGGAACAATTGTGTTATTATTATTTACCATGGTCCTAGAATTCACGGGGACAGTACTAAAGTTTAAATGAACAAAGGTAATACAAATTAACCACAATAAACGCAAAATGATCATAATTTCACCAAAGATCTAGGTTGGACTAATAACTAGGAATAATTTTTTTTTCTATTTTTTTTTTCAGGACTTGATGTTAAGTTCTAGGACATGTATACCCCATGTATTAGATATTTATATCTAAAAGCGTTGGCATATTTATATTGCAGCAATGCCCATTTCGCATTATATGTGCGACCTCAACTTATAATTTGAATTCATACTGCTTGATATCGAGCTGGCCAATGTTGCGATCAAACCCTGGACTAGTTTGTGTTAGCTCATGTTTTTTATTATTACGCCACGAGGGGCTCAGATTTCTAATTGTATTCATATTTTATTTTATGATATGCACATATAATATTATAAACAGCCCGTTTATATTCGATGCATTAAAATCTAGTAGATTGGAACGTGTTGAATTGCATAACAAAACGCAGTTAAGTTTTATAATTTATTATTTGTAAACAACAATTAAATTATATAATCATAATAATGTCCATAATATACTAGAATAAATAACATAATTTTCACTTCGTTAATCTATTTCCAATTGTTTGAATGATGATTCTATTCCGAATAAATCTGTTGCGTCTTTTGGTCCACCTGGTCTGATGCGTTCGTTGACTCTTCTAGTTTGTTCTTCTTCAGCAAAAACTGATTTGTGCTTATATAAATCTGTTAAGGTTATTTCTGTAATAAAATATTTGGCCTAATATAATTATAAGTAAGAAAACGCATAAAACAATAATTGAGATAGAAAATATTATTATTATTAATTTTGAGATGATTATTGTTAATAAAATGCTTATAATATAAATTGTGAAAGTAATTTCATAACTGTTACAAATGTACAATCTACAAATTTTTTGTCAATATTTATATCTTTTACTTTTGGGTTTTCATTTTCTGTTATTTTACCCTGCATCTATCGTCATTCACAGATATTAATATTGTATTTTTAGTATGATGCTGGATATTCTTTATTGGCTTTATAGGTGTTAAATTTAAATAAAAATAGTGCAGTAGAAGTCATAGTCATACTATCGAAAATTCCGGACTATCGGACGGTAATTATAAAAACGATTATTTTAATAATTAAACTCCAAAAGCTCATTTTACTTTTCTTAGAAGATACATATTTAAAATATTTTTAAATTTTTAACGCAAAACATTTTTAATTTTGATGATTTCTAGTTTCCGATTGAGTTAGATTGAAAGTTCTTTCCTTTCGAATATCAGGACTTAGGTTTTGAAAACATGACCAAACTCTGCGTAGAACGTAGAGCCTACGTATTTAGTAGAACATACTTCGTTCATGAACCTAGACACAACCATAATCGAACAATAGCGAGTTTTTCCGAATGATTCCGAATCACCCCGAAAACGTTCTTATAGTTCTTGAGCATTTTTATTAGCTATAAAGGGACATATTTGAAAAACGAAAATTTCGAAAAAATGCCGGACTATCGGACTGTAGGGTGCCTGACTAAAAGACTTCTATTGTATAATTTTTTTTCTACATTTTTCTATTGTAATATTTTTTTTCTACATTTCAGAATTCCTACAAGACATTTTTCGAACGGATGGTGTACAAGTTTTTCAACAGTGCAAGGGTGAGTTCTTTTATATTGCAAATATAATATTGATAGTTTGATACAATTGTTTTGAAATTAATTATAGTCAATTCGGCAAATATAAAAAAGCAGTATATTAAATAATATTTATTTTGGACATTTTGAACACCAACAATAAATTTGTGTTTCAACAGTCAACATATCAAACCAGGAAAAAAACACAGAAAATATTCATAAAACATAACACGAGAGTTGTGAAAAAATTAACAAACATTTCTTTCTTGTATTCTTATTTTTTGTGTGTCATATTTGTTATTTTGAACAGTGATCAGAACTTAAGTTCCCTATAAGCTGTTGATTTGAATCAACTAACTACTGATGAATTTATTGGTACAGCAATACCGGATGAGGGCTATTTTCATTTGAAAACGCATCGCTATCTACATTGCCAAGTAAAAATTGATGTCACTACTGCTTGACTTCAGATTGCCCTGAGCGGGTATCGTATTAAGAGAACTTTGTGTTTTTTCTGGTTTGTACCAATGAATGATGGCACATACTTATTGTTACTGTTCGAAACGTACACAGAGTTTGTAAAATTTATGTTTTGCTATTTGGAACGAATTGACTGCAATTATTTTCTGTATTATGAAAATTTAATTTTAACTACCATGGAACTCGTTCATCGACGGTCCTTCACCACCATAATTCCTCGGCAAATATTTTCGCGGAATGTATTTGTACAGGAGATCCAATTCCTTGTGAAAATGCAAGATTTCTAATAATTGTTTTTTAATGAACGGACGCATCAATGACATTAGAACATCTACGTATGGCACAATGTTGATATAATGAATTCCACGTAATCGGCCTGGGAAGACTTCCTGAAATAAATTAAAAGTAGTTGTTAGTGACATTTAATCAATCGGGAGAGTCCGCGATTGTTGTCGGCAATGTTCGCTCAGACATGTGACGTCACATACCCTTCTATTTATTTTGCGCTCGAATAGCATCCATGTAATTTAAGGTCTACGATTATCTTACCTGTAAATAATAAATAAATTTGTGTAAGACGACAGGTGACATTCTTGTCAGGTGACCCATAACCATGCCAGTCATATCAAATACGATTCTGTGCCCTTTTGCAGTTCCATTTCGAAGATGATCTAAATCCTGCACTAGGAAAAAGGCACGAATCGCATTTACTAAACTGTATCGTGCAGGTTCTACATCCCTGAGTCTTGATATTATAACGCGTTCTCCGTTTGCACTTGGTATTGATGCAAAAGAACTGTGAATTAGAAAAGATAAATTTATATTTTTCGAAGAAAATTTGAGTTTTTAAATATGTGGTCTACATTTCACTGACAATGAGATGAATCGTTTGACACTGAGATTGGAAAAAATACATGCATAAAAATACATATGAAGATGAAAAAATACACGTAGAAATTGTTTTTTTGTTACTTCTTATTTTATATCTTCAAAACTAGTTAACTATATTAACAATTCACAATTAATGGCGTCTTTAAATTTTTTATTTTTGACCGGAAAAATATCCAAGCATATAATATTTATGAACTAAAGTAAATGTTTGAATTCCCTGTTTTCAACATTTTTAATGAGGTTTTCAATTTTCAGCCCACTCATGTTTTCAGACGATTTGCAACATTTTCAGACAACTAACATCATTTCGAAAATTAAGAACATTTTCAGGCTAGTTTGGTCATTTTCATAGACTCTGTCCATGGCAGCATTAATTATTTAAATCAACCTTGTTGGAAGTCGCATTAGAAGTTTCACTTCAATAAATATAACCATCTTGGTCTTTGCTTAAATGACCGTTTTAAATGACAAACGCGATATATATCAGACATTTAAACCAACCTTTACGAGTCGAATTAAAAGTATAATCTTTTTTGTTAAATACTTCTATAATCTATTATACTCCTGGTTTCAGCAAAATCGCATAAATCGACTGCATTATTCAAATTCAAAAATATAAATATACTTATAGGCCACACCCACATAACTACCTGTGTGTACGAGTGTTGCCTTTTGACGATCTGTATGTACGGGTGTTTTTTTTGCTCAAGATTTATTACTCAGTTAAATTATTGAGAAAACTCATAATTTTTATTTTTATCATTTTTGCGACATTAAGATTATGTCGTTTCTGATTTGTTCAGTAGCCCTACTGGGCGGCACGCTGGCCCATACAGCAGCGCTCCCGGGGAAAACACTCTCGTAGCGAAAGTGTTAATGTATTATAAAGTGTTAAGATATTGTGCGCCTCTCTTTATAAGAGGCTGTCAAAAAATTATAGGCTCATTATTTTGGATTAGCAAACACTTAAATAACTAGTTCCCATGTAAATTGTTCCTTAAATCTAATTTTTGTGAATTATTTAACTTTGTACTCAAAATTTCTTTTGAGATCATAAATATTATAACAACTAAATACTAAATACTAAATAACAAATAACAAATAACAAATTTACTAGGAACTAGTTATAATGTGTCATATGAATCATTGAAGCCACTCGGATGAAAAATGTAAACAAACCCAGAAATAAAAACTGTTTAAGCTGTACCATAAAGCGTGTATTAGCAAGTTCATGCCCTAAACGCCATCTGTTAGGTGTGTTTGAGTTATTTCTCGCTGATCAAGAGCAATTGCTATTTAACTCAATATTTTTCCTTCTAAATTTAATTCTAAGTAAATTATAGAAACTGTAATAAATCAAAAACAAAGTTTTGTTTATATATTTACGTTTAATGTGATTATGTAAGCATATCTTGGAAAAACTAATCGATATGTATGCATGCTTGTGTGATTGGCTAGTGCTGATATAATAGTATATCAGTTTTTGGATTTTGTATTCAATTACTTGAATTACTTCAATTACTTGAATTTAAATTTTAATTACTTACACTACTTCCAGTGCCCTAGCCAGTTGTTTATCAGTCAAATCCCTGTTGCCAAAAATATTTGGTAAATGCGTTCGGACAGTGTAGTGCTCATTGAGCATCACTTTGGCAGCTTGAACGTCGAATTGTTTTGCATGGAGAAATAATATCAGTTCTAAGTCTGTAATGAATAAATTGAAATGAAATATAATGATGGAATAGTTTATTGAAAATAGTATGGTTAGTACATTGAATAGTTGTTTATCGAGTTTGCCATCAAAAGTTATCGAATCTGATGTTTACCAAATAGAGAATATATGTTTTGCATACGACTCCATACATTTTGCATATTAGTTTTTCAAATTTAGAAAAATATATGTATGTATGTACATATGCTATATATGTTGATATGGTTGGTTTTGCACCGCTGTCAACATATTATGCTAAAACCACCAATGACATCCCAAACTGCCACCAAATAATGTTGGGCCATCAATATAACAGTTGAATACTTTGTATAAAATTTTAAAACACAACTTTAATGAATAAATCAGTTATTTATACATGCCAAGAACTTCATCGAACATACTTGCTTTCAAGTAAAATGCTACTTAGTTCTTGTATTTTACCAGAAAAACACTGGTGACATAATAAGGTCGAAATGAACAGAATAAATATTTTTCATTATTCATATTTTGTCCACTTATTACCTATTACTGCCTACTACCATTCCCAAAATGTTTTATAAACGAACAAAAAGTTTTCTAGATTATTTGTAATATTAAAGTAATTGATAAGTTATATAGAAAACTGATATTGATATTATGTCACTATACTAAAATTCTGCTTCAAATAAGAAGCTCATATAATTTTTCATCAGAGATTATGTTTTGAAAGGTTTGTATGAAAACCGTTTTCAGCGTCACCATTTTATAGTAATTTCCGCTTTTTCACTATTGATTTTTATATAATTAATAGTTTCAAAAAGTGCAAATCATACACGTGTAGGAAAATCTTTTGAAAATGTTACGACATGGAACATGCAATATATAACTACCAGCTAGCTTTTGTTATGTTATTTCAATCGTAATAATTGAGTTAAATTTGAATGACATATGTCCCTGAGATTCGAACAATTGGTCAAATAATACTCATTTAATATATATTTGCAGTAGGCACATGAAAATGCATTTATTAAGTTATAAATAAAGGGTACGGTTGTGCCACTTTTTTAATCAGCAATAATTTTGTTAATTTATTAGTTAGAGAAAAATAAATTATATATGCTAATTTGAAAAATTTGATGAATCCGTCATAAAATCAAATCATACAAGAAAAAGACTAGACTAGACTACAATCGTCCACACCCCCATCAGAAGGGTTGCTTTGAAAAAAAGTTCAAAATTTCCAAAATATTTCGAAATATAAAAAACTCTTTTTTTAACAGTCAAAATTTTTCACAGTTTTCAAAAAAAACTTTAATTTTTCTTAAAAATATTAATTTTTGGTACGGAAGTTCCAGCAATTTGCCTTAAGGCACGATAACATACACCATTAGTTCAAATTATTACTAACATTTTGCTGTAAATAATATCTATAATATATTATTATAAGGTATGTAGGGGCACATAAGTACCATTTGACTTCTGGTAATTATGCTGAAAAAAACTAAACCCATTATATTAGAACATATAGAATACAAACAACTCCTGAAAATGTTCAGTAAAATTGCCAGATAATTGTTGTAGAAATTGCTAGATAACTTATTGTTGTGGAAAATATTTTTTGCTATTCTTGTAACATATGTCTACTTCTTTTTACCCTATAGGGGGTTAAAAGATCTTTTATTTTATTTTGAATAGAGTTTTTATTGGATTATTGAAATAATATTTTTTTAGTTTGATTAATCTGACCAAGAAGTATAAATGAGTATTTTTTGAAACAATGTTTTTTGTACAATAATTTATTTATATTAATACTTTATTAGTACCTGTAACGTTGGGCAAATATCTCTGTTTACTTAGCCATTCTCGTAGTTCTTTCAAGTCTTCATTTTTTAATTCTGGATTCTTTTCAAATTCCTCTTCAATGGTCATCAAATTCAAAGGTAAGAATGCCATTTTTATGTAAGATTCACGAAAAAATCTTCTATTAGTGCATTTCAAGTTTCTTGCCTCGCTGTGTTAATGAATTAAAACATTTAATATATGCGTATAAAAAAATTAAAATAGTCTGCGTTTAAAAAATCTTAAGATAGATGATCTTTTTTTTAAATTTATTTGCAGTGAATTTTTAAAATTAATGCATATATTGTATATGGTTTAAATGCATACTTTTTTACACAAATGATATTCATTAATATAATTGCTGGTAAAAGTATATTGTAATATTTTTTGCTTTAATTGAATCAAAATGATATTAATTTTTAATTATTATAAATACTTTTTTTAACAAGTAACATATTTCACTGTGAAATTTTACTACTGTGTTTTTTGATATAATATTTTCATATCTCAGTCAGACAGGGGTGTTTGATATTATGTAACAATTTTAATATTTTATATACATATCATTTGTCTATTTCATTATACAATAATATAGTATTTATTATAATTAAAATATCTTTAAATATCTATTCAATCTTCTTTGTCTTTAATTTCTTTATAATATTTCTTTATTTTCCTTTTAATTTTAATTTTATTGCCTACATATTTATTGTTTCACATTAAATAGTACCTTATTCATTGTTTATTCTATTTTTAATTACGTTTTAAAGTAATCTATATTCAAATAAATGTTAATTATTATATTTACTTCCCGAATAAGAAGTTTGTTTTAGCCAGAAAATTCTACTAGCTAATTATATGTTTTCTAGACGTTCTAGTCGTTTCGAATCGTTTTATATCAAAATAGGAAAAATTGATTAAATTTTGGCATTTCTTTGGTGTTTTCTCAAAAATGGCTGCTCTTATTTGAAAAATTTAGGACATAAAGACTCGCATTGACTAAATTGTTCGAAGAACGGACAAGCTATTTTTTATAATTACCAAATATGTGCAAAATATTCAAATAATATTTACCAAAAGTCCTCAACAGATTTTTCAAAGTACAAACTTTTTTTTGAAATATCTCAGGTGGGAATTCTGCTGATTAGCTTTTAATTTAGCTGAAAAAATGGGATACAAGCGAGTTTTTGTAAATTATAATTAATACAATTATTATAAGGTATTAATTTTGAATCAAAATACACCGTTATCAAATAACTAAATCTCAATTCTGATTGATACAATCAATTATTTAAACGTATCGGAAGCTTATAATTACAGCTTACCTTAAAGGAAAATGTCACTTATTCCAAAATGCCCTTAGTTTAATTTATTGTTTACTGTAGTATTTTCAAAAATTTTGTACTAGAATTTTAATAATTTTTTATCATTATTTATCTCATTTACGGTTTGTTTAGTGCGGATATTTTTTTATTTAACATGTATACTATTTTAATGAACTTTTCACTAACTTAAATTTTGGTCATTATTAATTGAAATTTGTGTTGGTTGATAATTTAGGACATATGAACACTACACATTTTGTTTTGATTGCTTTGATTTATGACATTTGTATGAATATATAATTTAATAGATTATGTTACATTGCATTGTTTGACTTTTTGTCACAATGTCAATATTATTTTATTTTTCGTTAAAAAAGCCAATTATATATTATACAAGTAAGAGTTAATATAAAGTATAATTTTTTACTGATTATGATACAAATTATTTTATTATTATATTATATTATTATTTTTGTTATATAGTAGAGTGGAGTGGGGCTTAAAGGCATATTTATATAAAGAAACATATTTCTGAAAGAGTTTTACTTAACATAGTCAGATAGTTCTTTGTTTGATATGTGTAATTTGTTGTGATATAATTGGTATGGTTTTCACAATTTAATTGCTCAAACTCAAATTGGATCTTTATACCCCGTCCTACCCTGTATATATATATATATATATATATATATATATGTGTGTGTGTGTGTGTGTATTACATTGGTTCTTAATATGGATATTTTCGAATTTTTTTGCTCCCAGGGGCTCAAATGCTTCCAAATTAATAAAAAAATTCTGAAAATTTTAAGTCATAATATTATATGGTTCTAATTTCTAAGTAAATACTTATTTTATAAAATATGTCAAGTTTTTGTAGTAAATTTTTTATTCATCAAAATAAGCAAATATAATGTTATTCTTGAAATTTTGATTCACTTGCCGCCAAGTTATAAAATTCTAAAACACAAATGAAATTTTACTCATATTATTTCTAGAAGAAACTTTCGTTGGAGTGCGGACTATCTTAAAGTTATTATTAAGAGTTAAAACTTTGACAGAATTTTATTATTAAGGTGGGAGCCTGTTTTAGAGGCTTAAAAAAATCGCTTTCTTAGGGAAGGATTCTAGTTGAACCTAAAAAATCCAGGAAAAAATAAGAAATTCACCACTTTTTCGCAACTTGTAAAAAAAATCATGTTTTTTGATACAAAATTTCAACTTAGATCGTTTAAAAAGTCGGTTAAATATGACTTTTTTAAGTTTTTTTAGGTTCACTAAAATAGAATTTAATCCTGAATACAATGAATTTTGTCTCGTTTCGATATGTCGTTTAGTTTTTTTCCTATCTTTCCCGACAATTAGGAAGAATCGAAAAAATTCAAAACCGAGAAATCGCCCGTCGAAGTTTTCTTTCGCTTGCTTACTGTTTCTTCTGTAATTCCGAAATTTGTAATTATTTGAAATTGTTTTTGAAATTTTAGGGATATATTCTTGACTAGTTTTGGAAGAAAATTTTAAATCGATTTTTTTAAACCTCTAAAGCAGGCTCCCCCCTTAATTTGGAAGCATTCGAGGCCTTGGGAGCAAGGAAATTTGAAAACATTCATTAAGGACCACCCTAATATATATAATATTGTATGCAAGGAATTATTTGTTTTACTTGAACAGCACTTTATTTATTTTGTATATTATCACTTCTCTTCATTTTTCATATTACACTTTGATATTATGTCTTTATATTTAACTGTTACATATATTGTTAATTACATTAAATTCAATTCTGTTATATATTTATATATAACAACGTTACTTACAGTTAGTGTTTATATCATCTCATAAATACATTTCGTTCATTCCTAACGTAAATTTCATTTTGAATATCATTTTATTAATCTGCTTCATTAAGAAAATGCTAATTACTGCGCCAAATGAACGTCGACTTCGACGTCGACAAATTATTAAGGAACTAGCTGCCGCCGGTATAATTCCCGATGTTATTTTCGCGTGTACCACATTGTCACTCGGCGAAGCGCACTGCGGTGTTAAACTATTTGACGCCGGAATTTATACAACATAAAAACATGACATGCATGTATTCGACTTCTATTATATTTTGGAATGATTTTTAATCAAAAATTGTTTGGACTTTTTTAAAGAAAGAATTTCAAACAATCGCTATCGAACTGTATATGCATTCATAAGCGTTGAGATATTTTTCAGGTAATGATGATTAGTGGTTGTTGTATATTCAAACACCGTGTGCATTTCTGTTTATAAAACGTTTTTTAGAAATGGTTTTGTTTATATTTTTACATTTCTGTTTACTTTTGGTCTATCTTATAATTAAAAAAATATTCATGAATATTTTATCATATATAAACAAATAGTTAATTAAGTTTACCGACAAATATTTATTGATGTGTAATAGGTTTATACATAATTAAATAACCAGAATTAATAATTAGTGGTACATGGCATCGTGTCTTAAGGCAAATTGCTGGATCTTCCCGTACCGTAACAAAATGTTCGACGAATATTAAATTTTCTCTAATAGATTATTATAAATACTGTAACATTGTCTAATATTTATAAGAAGTTATTTAAAGTATATAAGTGCGCTTTAGAACTTTAGCCAGAATCAAAATTAAAATCTCAATTATTTTCGATATACAAAAAAATTTCTTTGAAACAAAAATGGATTAATTTTTTTTCCAAAAGCAATTGTTTTTTGAATCATTCAAATCGGATGCTTAGTTCTCTCAAAAACTGCCATTTTCTGTATATTTAGCTCTGTATCTTTGAAATGGCTGGACATGTCTTTGCCAAAAACTAATCACTACTTCTCCCAATCATTACAAATTGATTGCTTTTTGGATCATTCAAATCGGATACTGCATTCTTTCAAAATCTCCACTTCTATTTTCTGCATTCTTTGCTCCGTATCTCCTATCTGGTAAAGGCTGGGCCTGCCTTTGCCAGAAACTAATCAGCAAATCTCCCTATCAATAGGAATCGAATGCCTTTTGAACCATTCAAATCAGTTGATCCGTGCGCCCGAAAACGCAAACGAAAAAATGCGGACATACAAAACACACTCACATTAATTTTTTCTGAGGTATGCCAAAATGTTCAGAAACCTTCAAAACGTGAAGCTATGCAATAATTTTCATTTTTGATTTTTGGCCCATTACTATAACTACCCTACGGGAAGTTAATAAGATAGATATTTTATTAATAATAAAATATTTTATTAAAAGTTGGGCAAGTCACTAAAGTCTTATTTGTCTTATAATTACATTGTAAGTGATTATAATTTTTACACTAAATGAACTACTCACATGACGATACATAACATTTATCAAACAGACAACTATCTCACTATGTTCAGCAAAATTTCCTGTTAACTAACTCCTAATTATAGAAAAATGTTTTTTTTTTTACTATTTTTCTAAAATTTGTCATCTGTCCCTTTTAGCCCCCTGAGCGGAATAATTTTTTTTTAAATGCAGTACAGTCGAATTAAAAAAAATCTCTGTTGTGTTCTCAAAGTATTGATGTGGTCCGTAAGTATAGTTTTAAATTGTCTAGGATTTTTTAATTGTTTTTGTTTTGTAATCATTTTATTAAATCTGGCTCGTTTCTCCGATGTAAATAAAATTGTAGTCTAAGCAGTTAATTTTATAAAGGAGATTTCTAAGTCGTTCGATGCTTTTATAGACCTAAAAAATTATGTAAACTTGAAAATTTTATTAGGGTCTCGCAAACCAAACAACAGTGTTCACAA